TTTGCTATCAGTAATAACCGATAGGTTTTATCGCACATTAGATAAAGGTGGAGAGGTTAAGGCCATTGCTCTTGACATTTCTAAAGCGTTTGATAAAGTTTGGCATGCTAGTCTTCTCCATCAGCTTTCTTTTTACGGTGTATCTGGAAACATCTTTAAGATTATTGAATCCTTTCTTTCCAATCGTAGTATAAAAGTTGTCTTTGATGGACAGCACTCTTCTTCTTATTCTGTAACCTCAGGGGTTCCCCAAGGTTCAATCCTTGGCCCTATACTCTTTTTAATTTACATTAACGATCTTCCAGACATTCTCACATCTAAGGTGGCATTGTTCGCTGATGATACTACCATTTATTCTTTTCACGATAAGAAGCCAACTCCCTCTGATTGCTTGCAGGGGGCATCTGAGCTTGAAAAGGGTCTCACTTCTACTACAGCATGGGGCTCACAGTGGCTGGTGAACTTTAATTCAGATAAAACTCAATTTTTTTCGGCCAATCGTTATCGCAATAATTTAGACCTAGTTCCTATAGTTCCTATATTTATGAACGGTAATGTACTCGATGAGTCTCCTACCCTTCATCTTCTAGGATTAACTCTTACTTCTGATCTTTCTTGGAAACCTTATATCAAATCCGTTGCAAAATTAGCATCTGCTAAAGTTGCATCTCTTTATCGAGCTCGTCACTTTCTTACTCTGGATTCTATTCTCTATCTCTATAAATCTCAAATCCGGCCTTGTATGGAATACTGTTGCCATATCTGGGGCGGATCTTCTAATGATGCCCTTTCTCTTTTAGACAAGGTGCAAAAACGCATTGTAAACATAGTTGGACTTGCTCTTGCAGCCAACCTTCAACCTCTGTCACATTGTCGTAATGTTGCTTCACCTTCTCTTTTCTACAAATACTATAATGGGCACTGCTCTAAAGAGCTAGCGTCTCTTGTGCCATCTACTAAAATTCATTCTCGTGTTACTCGTCATTCAATTAAGTCTCATCCTTTTTCTGTTACTGTTCCTAAGTGCTCCAAAAACTCTTATTCGTCTAGTTTTTTTCCTCGAACATCAGTTTTTTGGAATTCGCTTCCTTCATCTTGCTTTTCTGATTCATATAATTTGCAATCTTTTAAGTCGACTGTCAATCGTTATCTTGCTCTACAATCTTCATCCTTTCTCTTTCCAGTAACTTCCAACACTAATTAGTGGTTGCTTGCAGCCTTGTTAGAAGCGAAAATAGTTAAAAAAAAACAACATATATATATATATATATATATATATATATATATATATATATATATATATATATATATATAATCAGGAATGTTGATTGGAAAGCCTGCATAACAAACAGAACAAATTTTAACAGATTTTATTTCATGAAAATGCAGATTGAATCGTCATTTTTGAATCGTTCATAATCTGATTTCAAAGTTTGAAGCGTTCTTAAATTGATTTGTCAATTCCGATCATTAGTATTCAATTGCATTTCACTTGATGTAATCTCACAGAATAAGCAGCAATGACAACCTGTTAAATAAAATAGTTATTATATAATTTTTATGTTCTTATTACAAATAAGTTATTTAACTTTTAAAATTGTTGCAATTTCATTTTTGGTAATTTAATTTAGAATACAGGCTTAGTGAATACAAAACTAATACTGACCAGTTTCTCCTGTGATGCCATAGATAGCACACAGAAATATATAATCACCAAATATAAACACAAATTCTTTTCCCTAAAATTACAATTTATTAAAATTGATTTAAAATGTTTAAATTTTATAAATCAAAGAGCAAATAATTTTAGGAAATATTTAATTATTAACCTTCGTTTCATTGTTTGAAGCTGTCTAATTTCATCTATGTATCTTGAGAGCCTAATTTTAAGGTTTGCTCTATAGTCTTTGGCCTCAAATATATTAAAAACTGTTGTATTATTCTTTGAATTAGGTTTAGAAACATTAGCTATCTGATAGCTCATTTTAAATGAACCACCTCTGTGGTCTCCACCAACCTTTACATGTATTTCACTAGAATTTATCTTTTCATATGTTAGTTGGTTATATCTACGATAATAAAGATGAAATTGTTTATTTATAAAACAAAGAATAGAATTTATACAAATTATTTAAGGAAAACTTAAATATATTTTGAACTTGCCTTTCTAATTCATCTAGTAACTTGATTAAATGCGATGGTAAATCATTAATATATGCAGTAGGAGTTTCTTTTATTTCAAAAGTTCCTTTTTTATTTTTGAATTCAAACAGAAACTCTTTGTTTTCAACAATTAAATTATCACCTGACCAATATTTTGAAACTATTTACTGTTTAGAAAGTAGCGATAGTTTAACATTTTTTGTGTGGAAAAATCTGAAATAAATAAATATATATATATATATATATATATATATATATATATATATATATATATAATATATATATATATATATATATATATATATATATATATATATATATATACATATATATATATATATATATATATATATATATATATATATATATATATATATATATATATATATATATATATATATATATATATATATATATACATATATGTGTGTGTGTGTGTGCAGGGCCAGATTAACATCTTTGGTCTCAAAGTACTTACTTAATCATTTTTTTCATCTTTTCCAAGGTAAACCACAATCTGCCTTTAGTGATACAATATCTTCTGACGCTATCTGAACTTGGGAGATTTTTGCTTTTTTCAGTATATTAATTTTATCATTTTTATTAAAAGAATTAAGCATAAGTACTGCTTGATTTATTTTCGCTTTTTTTGCTGGTCCTGCATTTTCAATAAGTGATTGGTGTATTTGATTATGACGCCTTTTAATAGTTTTCTGGCTAATACTATTTGAAGTTTTATAGATCTTTGGAGTCACTTTAAGTTGTATAGCCTGTTAAAGACCTGTTAATTATTCAACTATAAACTCTTTTTTAAACTATTATTTTTTTATATAAAATATTTTAATTAAAAAATAAAAAAAACTTACCCGCGGACCACCTGAAGGGAGTTCAAAGGAATATGATTTGCTTTTTGCCATTTTTAATTTTGCAAAGTGAGCAAATGCATAGTCTAACTCTTTAGGAATTTCACAATTCTCATTTATTTTATATATTTCAGTAACTGTCAATGAAGAGCTAGATAATGGGGAATGATATTGTGATTTGCTGCTAACTTTACATGTTTTGACATGTTCTTATTTAAAGCTTATATTTTTTGAAGTAAATTTTTCTTTGCATGTATTATTACAACATTTTATAACTAAATTCTCAAGTATAGTTTGCATTGACGTTGCTTTCAAGATACTATCAAGAGTTATATTAGAGCAACATGTTGTGCATTTAGTTTCTGTTTCTAATTTTTCAATTATGTTTGGAAAAATGCATGTTGCACAAAACAAATGATGATAATTATTAAGTAATACAGGTTTATGTAACAACCTTTTACAAATATTGCATACACATAAATATTTGTGTGGATTATCACCTACATCGATAGAATTGTGGCATAAACAAGACACTCCAGAAAAACTTTCTATTATTTTAAAAATTGACTCCCTTGTCCAAACAACTTTGTTATTTAATGGTGGTCTTCCACATTGCTTTTTTTTCTTCCTACCAGATTTTTTCAAAAAACATATGCATCTTTCAATAAAACAAGGTTGTGGCCATTGACTTAAACTGAAATTAGAGGCTGTTCCTCGCTGTTTGATATTTCTCAAGTTTGTGTAGCATTTCATGCAAATTTTAGGTGGGTGGGTGTCCGTTCTATCTTCTTCTAGCTCAGTAAAAAATGTCCGATCAGTTCTAATCTTTATGTTTTTTGTGTTAATTGGATCATTGCCAATATAGTTTCCACAGAGTCTGCACAGTTTCATAAGACATGATATGTGGTTAGTAGCAAGGTGAGCGAAAGATACTATGACTCAAAATGATGTTTTGATTTTTCAAAAAACGAAGACCAGATTTACTGAATTGGGGAGAAATGCAGGAGAGTTCTTCTACATTGACTAGTTAATGGATAACATGCAAGGGATTGCTGCTACATCGAATGAGGGTTTGGGTTAAGACAGGTATAGATCAATCGATGTAGCAGCACTCTCCTACATTTCTCCTCAAATCAGAAATGAATCTGGTCTTAGTTAAAAAAAAAATCAAAACCTCATTTTGAGTCATAGTATCTTTCGCTTACCTAGTAGCAACAACAGTAGACATTTTTAGATTGGTACCGTACTTCTTTAATCCAATTATTCGATAACTTAAAAAAATGACTGGTTAATAAGATTAGTTTTTTCTAAAAAAATTTAGATGATAGTTTTAAAAACTGTTTAGTTCTTGCTTTCAAAGATTGAATTAAAAAAGTTAAAGAGTTTGGAAAAAAAATTAAATTTAAAAAATAATACTTTTTATTACAGCTCTTGAAAGTTTGTTAAAAAGCAATCGAGTCAAACTTTTTTTAATTATCTACAATATTTTGTCATTTGACTGTCTCATAAAACTTTACAACACTAAGAAAAACTAAATATAATAGTTTAAAAACGTTTTCCTATTTTCGGTATCTCAATATACAAATAAAAATTATAGTAAATATCTAGAGGAAAACAGAAAATCTCCGGAAACGCATGCGCACTATAAATGTCTTATAGGTATCAAGATTAAACAACCGTGAGTAAATACTGATAATGATTACACAACTCATTATAGAATATATTTTGTCATTGAAAATATATTTATTAAATAATTTATTTAATGACAGTTGCACCTGCTGCCTCGAACCGGCCCTGCTTTTCAAAACTTTTTTGATGATGTCATAAATAAATTTATAATTAAGCTTCTTATTATTAATTTAAAATAACATAAATATTTTATTTGATTAATAAAAAATAAAAATAATAAGTAAAAAAAAAAAAATGATGTAGTTTTATAAATGTCGTTATAATAATTTGTAAATGTTTTTTTAGCATACTCTGAAACAAAATGATTCAAACAATTGTTACAATCCAACAAGCAATGCTTGTTTTTCAACAATTAATATTCGCCGTACTTGTTCCGGCTTTTTTATATTTTATTTTTTCTTATTTGCAACATTTATGGATTTGTAGTAAGTACCCAAAGGGTCTGTTTCCATTACCGTTGTTAGGAAACATTCATCAATTAGGTAAAAACTCTTCTCAAACATTTTCATCTTTAACAAAAATTTATGGAGATATATTTAGTGTGAGTATTGGTACCCAGCGACTCGTTATACTCAATAGTATGGAAAGCATACATGAAGCTTTGTTAACCAAAGGCTCAACTTTTGGTGGTAGACCAACTGAGTTTACGTCAAATGTTTTTACAAAAGGATATAAAAACTTATCGCACACTGACTATGGACCGAATTTAAAAGCGTTGCGAAAAGTTATTCATCTTTCCGTTCAAAAATATGCTGGCGGACTAACGAGACAAGAACAAATGATAACTTTTGAAAGAGACGAACTTTGTAAAAAACTTTTTAATACTGAAAAGGAAATAGCTTTACGTTGTGAAATTGGTTAGAATTTTTTTTTTCAGTTCATTATAAAATTTTTTTACATTTCTTTTCATTTTTTTGAAGTTTATAATTAAAATATTTTCTAAATATTGAATTAATTCTTATTAACATTTACTTATGTTTATTAATTCTTATTAACATTTACTTATGTTTATTGATTTTCAGATTTTTGCACTGTAAATGTAATGTCGGGGTATTTATTCAATGAACGCTTTCTGAACCAAAATTCCGAGTTTAAAGATGTCGTAAAAAGTATTCAACTTTTGCTAGATAACTCTGGAATTACAGATAAAACCACGTTCATACATTGGCTTCGTTACTTGCCATTGCGGGAATGGAATGAAATAAAACAAGCGAGACTTGTCTTAAACCCGTGGGTCGAAAAAAAGGTTGAAGATCATTGGAGAAAGTATAATGAAAATGAAATCATTAATGTAACTGATAGCATGATTCAACATTTTTTAACAAAGTACGATGGTTTAGACACTGATTTTGCAAAGAAATACATTACCTTATTATTGATCGAATTACTTGTTGCCGGTACCGAAACGACAGCTATTACTATTTGCTGGATGGTTTTATATCTAATACATAACCCTGAGTATCAAGAAGAAATTTATAAAGAAATTACATTAAATATTGGTTGTAGATATCCAACACTAGCCGAAAAAAATCTTTTCCCTTTATTACAAGCATTTATTCAAGAAACTTTGCGAATAACATCTGTTGTGCCACTAAACTTGGCTCACAAAGCATTAAAAGATACCAGCATTTGTGGAAAAATTATTCCTAAAGACGCTATAGTAATTACAAATTTATGGAATCTTCATCACGACAACAGATACTTTAAAAATCCTAATGAATTTGATCCTAAACGCTGGATAAACGAAAATGGTCTATTTGACTCAATTTCTCAAAAATATTTTAAACCTTTTTCGGCTGGAGCGAGAGTATGTCTTGGCGAGACATTAGCCAAAAATCAACTTTTTTTAATCATCTCCGGTCTAATTATGAATTTTATTTTCACATCTGCACCAGGAAAAGACTTACCTAGTCTTGAAGGACAATTTGGAATCACATTCCGTCCCAATAGTTTTAAGGTTTTATTAAAAAAAAGACAGCCTGAGATACAAAAAATATAAATCTCAGAGTGTATTGAATGCATTTACATATTTGTATAGAGTGTATTTACATATTTATTCAACTATTTACCAAATTTATAACATTATTTAACTAATTATTATTGATAATAGTATAGCTTAATTTTGCTTAGTTTTTATTTTGTCAAATCTTTTGTTTTATTGATCTAACACACAATCAACAACATTCATTTGAAGTATCAGAAGCTAGTAAAAAGAATTTGTCTATGACGTATTAACATTGATTTATGTAAGAAATAACTGTTGATTAAGTACAAACTTAGTTACTACTTAAGTGCGAATCTGCATAAGTGTAAAGCATTGCAAAAATCTTATTTAACGCAAATTTACATTGGTTCGATAATGGATTTTGCAAACACATACGTAAATACAAAGTTGCACAGTGTGAATCTTTACTTTTAGCGTTAAGACATGTACCAGAAATATCTGCGCGTTGTCTGACGTTGTGTTTACAGAAACCGTGCATTATTTTGAATAGCTTATTATTTAAATGCCATTGTATTAGTGTTATTTAAAATTTAAATAACTCTGCTATCAAAACAATTAGTTTTAGTTGAAATGTCATCAAATCAAGATAAGAAACACATTTTTTTTGCTTTTTCTTGTTGAAAATCATATTGTATCAAACAAAACAATTTCTAAAGAGTTATTGTTTTGAGAACAGCAACAGAGAAAGAATCAAAAGGATATCAGGAAGTATAAGAATAAATGTTTTTGTTCGACAAGATCTTGTTAAAAAACTAAAAGATGCCTTAGACAGAAATGCGAAGATTTATGTTTAAACTTTAGCAAATAAATTTAAAGTTAAGTGCTTCGTTTTACTTAGTTGGAAAGAAGTGACGTTCCACTTAGTTGGAAGAAACTGAATTCCTAATATAAATGCATTGAAATGCAAGTATTTGCTAAGAAATTCATAGTTTAACAAGAAATTTGTAAATGTGGTGAAAGAAGCTCTTGTTTTGTGAAAACGGGAACAATTAACACCAAAATATACATAAAAAATGCCTCATGATGCGCCTTATGCCGTTTTTAGGATCTCGTACGGCTAATCCGTTATTCTGGCCCCATTTAGCGTCGTCTCTCTACTCAAGGACAATATAAAGTTGGCTTAGACAACATAAAGTACGTAAATAAAGCTAAAAACATCTAAGACTTCAAAAATCAATGGATTAGAGCTACCAAGAAAGCCCAGCTGAAGACTGTGCAAAAGATGATGTCGAGTGTAAAACGAAACGTGCATGAATTCTCATATACACATTTTCACAAACTTACTTAAGAGAAATTTAAAAATGTTAATGCATTTACTTCCAAAAAAATATATAACATTCAATATCAAAATAATAGTTAAATAAATACCCTTTAAAATATTCACGCAGATTTTTTCTTGTACATGTCTCAAGATGTAAAATTTCCTTTCTATTGGAAAAGGAGTTTTTCACATAACAAATAGTGTTTACTGATACAAAAAAAAAAACATTTTACGTGTTTTGAGGCGCTTTCTGGGTCAAGGAATTCACTTTTGAGGTTAAAAATTAATTCTGAAGACTCTGACCAGCATGTAACTACCTGGATGTTGATGATGCTGTTGCTATTGCTGCTGCTGTTCAGGTTGCTTGTGATCATGTTGCCAAGATTAATGAAAATTTATATTTCTAGTCTAGATGCAAAATTTAATCAAAGACTTTAATCCAGCAGTGTATAATAGACATACCAATTTGCAAGATATTTTCATAACATTTCCTTTGTAAAACATTTACAAACATGTTCATTTGAGATAACTTTACACCAAGCAGATTGTAGAATTGAGTAGGAGCAGTATTTAGTAAATTTATTAATAACCTTTTCTTCAAGTATTGTAAAGTTTTCTTTGTACTTGATCTTTTAAGAATGTTCTTCTTGCTAAAACTTCAAATCAAGTTTGATTTTTTGTTTTAAATGTCTTAAGAAGACTTAACAGTCTTGTCTTAGAGTACCACGGAAGAGCATTAAACTAGGAAGTTCACGCTTCCTTCCTTACCAATGGCGCAAAATATACCAAGAGATTTCATCGAACCCAGAACCTCTTGCTTCTAAAGCAAGCACTCTAACCAATGCTGAATTGCTTCAATAAACCCTGCTTTAAACCATAGAATTATTCATTCATCATCACCAAGCTTCCTGCTGCCAAGAAAATATAGGTGTCAAGTTACTTAAAATATCATGTGTAGAGTTGAATAAAATCTTATTAATTATTGAACTGTTTCTGATTAGTCGGTACTGGTTATCTGACAGGTCACATTGTATTGAGTTATCTGACAGGTCACATTGTATTGAGTTATGTTGATACTTTCAGTCTTAAAAGCTGAGAATATTAACAGAACTTATCGTAATTGATTGATTATCTTTCATCTTAATTTTTTTTACAGCCTTATTTTTTTTAGTAGTTTTTAGTTAGCCCTATTAAGTGCTTCTTTGAGGTGCTAGTTCTTTTTCTTCTTTGAGGTGCTAGTTCTTTCCTAAGTTTACTCCTTTCTACAAGTTCTTCTTACTTTTAGGAAGGTCTCTTAAAGGTCTCTTGAATTTGATTCTTCTTGTCTTCTTTGCTTTGATAAACATAAATTTAATAAAAAATCTTTTTTATTAAATTTATGAAAAAATTCTATGGTGTTTCAAGCATTTTTTTAAACTTGCTTTTAAAGTATCCTGTAAAATAGTTGTATCGACATTTTCCTTCTCCAATTTTAAAAACATAATTAACAAAATGTAAGTGAAGGTTTTTTGTACAAAGTCCAATGTTTCGCATTTTAGTTACTAAATCTCTTCTTTTCATATTATTTAATGGGTTAACCTTCGACCATATAAACTGATAGACACGCCTTACCGCAAGTTAATTCACAAAATTTTGAAGCCAACATCTTTTAGCGCGTGACGTCACGTTTGGGCATTAAACAATTTATAATATCGGTTTAGGGTGAATGCATTTAACATTTTTAAAGTTTTATTACTTGTTATGTATATTATTTTGTTTAAATTTTGATTTTCAAATAGTATACAGATATATAAAGATCATGATTTTATCTTGTTTTGCATATAATTGCATTCAAAGATATATTAAAAAGGTTTCTTTTCACGTGTAAGTAGCTACAAATCATTATTTGCAAAGATCCTACATTATATTTCAAATATAAATAGAATATTATTTTAAAGTTGGTAGTTTTCTGAAAGATATGGAATTGAGGAGAAAATGGATACAAGTTATGTGGAGTGATGGGTTTACTCCTAGTAAACTGTCTAAACGTTGTGGTAAATATATCAATGGTATGATAGAAGTCTTTCGAGTTCACAAAAGAAACTAAAAAAAGATGCAATTTCTTCTATATTTAATTTCCCAACACTTTTATGAAAAAGTATTTATTCTAGAAAACTACCAAAAAATATAGACAACGAATTATTTCAAATATTACCACCAATGATTCAAATACAGTACCGTGAACGGGGGTGACTATGAACGCTTTTTGAACATTTTTGCATCGTGGAAGAGAACTGTTTGCCTAATCGCTACCAATTTTTTTGTAACAGAACATTCTACCTTTCAGCTTTCATTAAAAGTTGTAAACCTGATCAACACTATGAAATAAATACCTTAGTTTTCTGGTTTTATACGAGCACATACTCATTTCCGAAACGGGGTGAGAATGAACGGCCGATTTGGGGTGACTTTGAACACTACATTTTTTTTATATGCTAGATTATGGCTATACTACAATATTACAATAGGAAGGCGAGGGGGGCTGTTCAAGATCAAAAAGATAACAGGAGCTTTATTTTATATAGAACATTTTTTTATTTTAATTCAGTTCACGAGAAAATATTAACACAAGTTTAAAACCTAGTTTTTCATTATATTTACATGTACCACAATATTTACAAATCGTTCCTACATAAAACAGAACATCAACTATCATTATTCTCCTATTTCCTCACACTTGTTGCATACAAAGTAAATATTTTCAATATCAAGCTCATAATAGTCATCTTTATTATAAATGAGGCCGCAACATTGGAGGTGATATGTTTTACTGCATTTGTCGCATTGAATCCACACATCATCACTTAACTTTACCCATTTTTTATTACATAAAGCACAGAACCAATCACTATCTGTGTTGTTGTTGAGTTCTTTTAAACACGATGGCATCGACTCTTTTAAAAAATCAATTCTTTTACCTGGTTCCACCTTTGGACCACGTGGTTTGCGTTTTACTGGTGGATTTGCGCCTAACCCTAGATTATTTTTTAGAATATTTAAAACAGATTCATTAATAACCATTACTGTTTCTTTACCGCCAGGGTCTTTATATTTTCCTGATAGACGTTTTATAACTTCTGTTTTATTCATTGGGTAGATTCCCGTTGCTCGAAATCCACTCACCAAAGCTTCTAGCCGCAAAGTGTTATTTAATTTATTCAAAAGCGAAGGTAGCTGTTCCTTTGGAATTACTCCTTTGACACGACTTTCTACTCTCCACTTCAAAAGAATACTCCTCCATGACTGCTTTAGTCCTCTAAATACAGCAACATCTAGTGGTTGGCAGAGATGAGTAAAGATTCTTTGCTTTATAAATAACCATAGCCCGCAAAAACTCTCCAACAGCATTACCAGAAAACATTAAACTGGTTGACTACTTTGAATGTACTTGTTTTTTTCAACACGGTTTCCATGGCCACGACGAACAATAACGGATTTAGAACCTGGATTGTCTGTTATATTAGTCTCGTCATAGTTGTAGATATTTTCTGGAGGTACATCCTTCATTTCTTTGTACAAATTTTCAAAATATTTGTTAAGAGTTTCCTCGCCTACCACAGCTCGACTATATTTTACATTATCAGCAACCCTATTTACTAAACGATGTCTCTTCATGAAGGACTGAACCCAATCTACCCCAGGCATAATATTTTTGAATCGAGCGTCATTTATCTTCTTTTTATCACAATAAGATTTGACCAAAGGTCTTATGTCTAAAGAATCAAATGGCACTTTCCAGTTTGTCATATGAGTAATTGTTTGAACAAACAAATTTTCGGTTTCACTATCTAGTCTGGTTTGTCCACCATGCTTTTTCGGAACTTG